GGGCTTCCTGATGAAATCTGAGACTCACAGGAGCCCGAATCGATTCGTGTTGCATTGTGATAAACTGAAGAAAAGACGACATGGTGTTGGGTCTTCTTCCGCCTTATAGAGAAATAAAAGAACCTGTGTCCAAGGAGGACCAAAAGCAAATTGACAGCTCCCCCTCCTCTACAGTTATCTTAAGTGACCACAATTTGTTCAAGCATGATTGAATCATTATTCCCTGTTGGCGCGATGACATACGCAACAAAAAAAAAAGAAAGACCAAATTTTTGATTATGTTCGTTCATACCTGGTCGGGGAAAAAACAATGATGAGACTTGCCTTTTCTCTGTCACAATTTTGTTTTTGTCAGGTTGACAATTAATGCGGAGTGTTACCTTAAGCTGCATAACTTTCCAATGGATGAGCACTCGTGTCCGCTGGAGTTTTCAAGCTGTAGGTGGTCGAATGTCTCCTCCTCCCATTCTAAACCCGTCATCTTGACGTCAAATTCTTTAGCTTGCCTGGCGATAGGGGCTTCTCAGTGGGCTAGCGTTAGCGGCTAAGCCAATTTCTTCTCTTTGCCCAAAAATCCATCTGCTTTTAGCCGCCCTCTCAAAGCCTGTTCCAATCTATCATTTGCGCTACCAGCGGAGAGAAGATGTCACCTCGTACCATTTGCTCTGACAGACTTAATGAATTATACAGCCTCTGTAGTCTGATTCATGCTGTCTGTGTCACCTTTCACTTGTCTCTTGTGCTTCAACCTTTCATGTCTTGTCCACATGCCAGTGAAAAATGCAACGACCATTTCATGGGGGCGATTGATGTTTGGTGCATTGCAGATCAACTGAAATTCACCAAACGAGCATAAACCAGTTCTCTAAGTTACTCAATAACAAAATAATGAGATACTATGTTCAAGAGTCAACAACTTTAAACAAGAAAATGTGTTTAGAGAAGAACTCCTTCTCATCCAAAACGTGCTTTTTGTTCACACACGACACCGGTGTGTTAATTTTGCTCAATTCATTCTGAATATTTTGGGAGAGGGAGTATGTGTGTAGTCAATTCCTTTCCGTTATTTCAGCTTTCAATTGAAGCCATTATGCTCGTTTTATTGAATTTTGTGAGTCTGAGCTTGTCAGTTGCCATCTCGAATGCTACATTTTGACCTCTGTCACTTTACTACCCTTTTGTGAGGGATACTGGATGAGTTTTCTGTTTTACTTCCTCCGAGATTAATTATCTGTCTGTCTCCGTGGTATCTTTGTTGCGGGGGCTATTCTGTAGATGGTTACCCTCGGAATGAGATTTCATACCGGTGGCAAAGACGAGCAGTGGAGGTAGCGGAACAGCGATATTGGAGACTTTACCAGTTTGCATTTGTAGGGATGAGAAACACTTCGGATGTGGCACACACCCAGTCAGGTAGGAAATTAACTTTTGTTTGCTCATTGCTCAGCTTCTTCTTTTTCAAAATACAATATACTGTATATTCTCTTATGCCTTTCCAAACTGATTTGATGTTTTGTTGTTGTTGTTTTTTTTTTTTTCCTTTATTTTCCTTTATTATCAGGGGAGTATGTCATCATGACGATCTTTTTTGACCTGAGTCGGAGAATGGGCTATTTCACCATCCAGACCTACATTCCATGCAGTATGATTGTGGTCCTGTCCTGGGTCTCTTTTTGGATTAACAAGGATGCTGTCCCTGCTCGCACATCTTTAGGTACAATCGAGTCTGACTTTTTAAAGTGTTTATCAGATTACTTTACCGGCTGTGCTAGCAATACTTGAATATTTTAAGCGGGCGGCCCACTAGTCGAGTGGTTAGCACGTTGACTTCACAGTGCAGAGATACTGGGTTCAATTCCAGCTCCGGCCTTCCTGTGTGGAGTTTGCATGTTCTCCCCGTGCTTGCGTGGGTTTTCTCTGGGTCCTCTGGTTTCCTCCCACATTCCAAAAACATGCATGATAGGCTGATTGAACACTCAAAATTGTCCCGAGGTGCGAGTGTGGGCGCAAATGGTTGTTCATTTCTATGTGCCCTGCGATTGGCTGGCAACCGATTCAGGGTGTCCCCCGCGTACTGCCCGAAGACAGCTTGGATAGGCTCCAACACCCCCCGCGACCCTAGTGAGGATCAAGCGGTTCGGAAAATGAATGAATGAATATTTTAAGCTGGAACCTCTGTGGTAACAAGCCTCAGCACTCATACAATTAAACACCATCATGAGGTGTAATGCAGCAGTCCCCAACCTTTTTTGCCCCACGGACCGTTTTAATGTCAGACAATATTTTCAGGGGCCGGCCTTTAAGGTGTGGCGGATAAATACAACAAAATAATATCATATGACCTGGATGAAAACTGTGGTATGTTCGAAACACAATAATAAACACAAATCATGACACGAGGAACGTCCTATTTGCCCGCATCACTCTCTTGTCGCTATGGTAACGTTTAAACGTGCCTTCAAAATAACATACAAAGTGCATGAAAAATACGACTCACCATCGCCGCATATTATGCAGAGTGGGCTTGGTGCATGGGAATCTCCTGTTGAGATAATTCTGTATTTTAAATAGGACTCCCGATACTGTCTTATTAAATGTAGCCTTCTTTATCTTGGAAGTTGTTGGCTCCTCTTCTGTCTCCTGGCTGAGCCTTTTCCCCTTCCCAAAGACGTTTGTTTTTTACTCACTTTGCTTGCTCCTGGGGTTCATTTTAGCGGTAACCTATCACGTGACCGAGAAATGACTTGAACTGCGTCAAGAGTGACACACTGTAGATGGATGTAACAGGGAATCCGGTATTTTTTCAAAATATAACATCTTTCAGATTCCGAAATTAATAACATGAAAGTAATGTAAATTATTTATTCTTTCTATGTGGCCAAATAATCAACGGACCGGTACCGGTCCTGCGGCCCAGGGGTTGGGGACAGCTGGTGTCATGTATTTGTCTCGCTGACAAATATGTTTTCTCTGGTATTACTTTTAGGTATCACCACAGTGCTTACCATGACAACTCTGAGCACCATTTCCAGAAAGTCCCTCCCTAAGGTGTCGTATGTCACAGCTATGGACCTGTTTGTCTCTGTCTGCTTCATCTTCACCTTTGCTGCTCTGATGGAGTACGGAACGCTGCATTACTTCACCAGCAACAGACAGAGCAAAAAGTCTAAAGCCAAGAGTAATGCACATGTGAGTAACACTCTCCCTGGCCTTAACCAAAAACAAACAAAAAAAAAGCACAGGTTTAAACAAAAGACAGAAGCGTGCATCAGGAGGGATTTAACGCAGTTTGAGATGTAACTAACATGGAAATCAGAGCGCTCTCTCCAGGTGGAAAAACAAGTAATTAGTAAGGCAGGTTGAAGATGGAAAATCAATCAGAACCACAACATAAACAACGGTCATAACCAGTCCAAACGTTTGAAGTGGCCTGGAGAAGAAATAAACCACAAGTGTACTAAGTAACCGATAATGAGCGGGTAAATCAAATGAAACAGTTGATGCCAGAAATATTGTGAGAATTTTAAAGAAGCCAAAAAAAAAAAAAAACGACTTTTAGTGAGTGACATCAGCAGCATTGTTCAGGGGGAGGATTTATTTCTTTATTTATTTAGCGAATGCAAAGTCCTTCAGCCATGCAGTTGCCTCTGGGTCAGCTGAGTGGAGGGTGGCTAGCCCTCCTCTCAGTTTTTGGAGAGGGCAAGCTTCGATGATGTGTTCCATTGTCTGCTCCTCTCCACAAGCGCACAGTGGGCTGGGGCAATTGCCCCATTTGTGGCGGCTGGCCAAGCAGGGGCCATGTCCAGTCCTGAACCTGTTGAGGGTTGACCATTGTCTCCGTGGAAGCTCGGTGCCAGGGACAGGATGGGTGGGGTCTGACACCAGATGTTTATTGCGTATCTCCTTGGAGTCCCATTCCTTTTTCCAAGCTGACTGGATGGTAAAGTCAGCTGGTGGGGGGTTCTTCCAGATGGGGCGTCTGGATGGGAGTCGGGCCGTGGGTGGGTTAAGGATGTCTTGATAAATAGGTAGGTGGGGTGAGACTTTGACATTTTGGAGCATCTTTTCGGTTGATGCTATTCGCCGAATGTGTGGGGGAGCAATGTTGGATAAGACAGGTAGCCAGGGGAGTGGTGTTGAACGAATTGTTCCGGTTATGATTCTCATGGTTGAGTTAAGCTGGGTGTCCACGTGGTGTGTGTGAGATGACCTGGACCAAACAGGAGCACAGTATTCCGCTGCAGAGTAAGCGAGGGCCAGGGCTGAGGTGCGCAGTGTGGAAGTGGAAGCGCCCCATTTTACGCCGGCGAGCTTACAGAGCAGGTTGTTTCTGGACTTGATCTTAGCCGCTGTTCCTTTTATGTGTTGCTTGAAGGAAAGGGTCCTATCAAGGGTCACTCCAAGGTAGGTGGGGTGAGGGGCATGCTTAAGTTCAAGCCCACTCAGGGAGATCTTCAGTCCTCTGGCTGCTGTAGCATTGTGCAGGTGGAATACACTGGAGACAGTTTTTGCAGGACTTGGTTTTAACCGCCAGGTTTTGCAGTACTGGTCCAGTTTGCCGAGGTCTTCTGTGAGCACGTGTTCCAGCTGTTCCAGATCTGGTGCTTGGTATGCCAGGCAGATGTCATCTGCATAGATGAATTTGCGGGATTTGGTGCAGGGGAGGTCGTTTGTGTAAAGGTTGAACAGTGTTGGAGCGAGAACTGAGCCTTGGGGGAGTCCATTTTTCTGTGTTCTCCAAGAACTGTTGTTCTGGCTGAGGTGTACTCTGAACCTCCGGTTGGTCAGGAGGGTTGTAATGATTGTCGTTGCCCAGGAAGGGAGAGCCTTTGCAAGTTTCAGAAGGAGGCCTTTGTGCCAGACTGTATCATAGGCGGCTGTGAGGTCGAGAAACACAGTCCCGGTCCTTAGTCTTTTCTCAAAGCCATTTTCGATGAACATAGTAAGGGCCAGTACTTGTTCTCCTGTGCTGCGGTTCTTCCTGAAGCCTGCCTGGTCCACACAGAGAAGGTCCTCTACTCCTGGGGATATGCGCTGGAGTATTAGACGTTCCAAGATTTTATAGGGGACACAGAGTAGGGAGATTGGGCGGTAGCTTGCAGGTAGTTTCTGGTCTTTGCCGGGTTTCAGTATGGCAATGACTTTGGCTGTGCGCCATTTCTTTGGAATCACATTGTCCCGTGCGATTCTGCTGTAGAATTTGGTCAGCCAGATTACGGCTTGAGGGCCCAGATGTTTCATAAACTCCGGCAAGATGTTGTCATATCCGGCTGCCTTCCCACATTTCAGGCCCTGTAGGACTTTCTCCAGTTCACCACTCTCGAAAGGGTCAGGAGGCTCAGGACTGTCGTCCTCTTTGGGTGATTTGTGTTGTTCCCTAAGCTCAGCTGTCACTGCTCTTCTGGTGTGCTTGTCTTGGGTTGGTTTTGCTATGGCCAGTAGATGGGATGCCACTTGATTGGGTGTGACGGCCGGTCTTCTTTGGGTAGGAGGTTTCTGTGCGGCTCCTAGGCGGCGGATGAGGCTCCAACATTTCCTGCTGGAATGGGTGAAATTCAAGTCAGCTACTGTCTCCTCCCACATTTTCCGCCGGGCTGTAGTCAGCGATTCTATGAGGTGGTCTGCCATTTCAGGGTCCCCTGATGCTTCATAGGCTTGTAGGAGGGCAGCGCTTTCTTCATCCAGGCAGGGGATGTAGAGGGGTCGGTAGCCTCTTGGGATAGCTGTGTGGGCAGCCTTGTAGATGGCACTGCAGAAGCGGTTGTATGCTTCATCTATCGTGATGGTGTGGAGTGGGATGGTTGTAATACTTCGGTCCAGGGTTTGGCGGTATTTCTGCCAGTTGGCTTTGCGGAGGTTCCAGCGCATCTTCCTTGGGCTGGTTATGACTGGGAGTTGTAGGCCGATATGTATGAGCGAAGGCCGGTGTTGGCTGTGTGGGAAGTCGTCGAGGACCAGGATCTGTGCGGGGTAGGGGGTTCCACTCACAGAGCTGACCCAGCACAGGTCAGGGGAGTAGTCTTTGTTCCACCTGGCTGAGTGGAAGGTCCCTCTTTGTTTGGGGTCATGTATCAGAGCAAGGTCATTCCTAGATGCCCAGTCTGAAAGCGCCTCACCATCACAGTCCACTGCTGGGTATCCCCAGTCTGGGTGGTGGCTGTTAAAGTCCCCCACGTAGATGGCAGGGTGGGGAAGAGTGGGCAAGACCTGCAGATCCCAGTTGGCACTCGGGGGCTTATACACATTAGCGATGTGAAAGCCACTAATGGTTATGGCATCTGAGAACTGTGTTGTTGTCAGGTGGTTTGCTTCGGCTACTTCAGACCGCACATAGGTGGCAAGTCCATGTTTGGCATGGGGTGTATAGCACAAGAGGTCATAGCCGTTGATGGTGTATCGGCCTGCTACCTCTGTGCCAATGTGGGTCTCTTGGAGACAAATGACATCAACAGAATGTTGGGAAGCAAGGACTTCAATGAGGCTTCGCTTGGCTAAGGAAAGGCCTTCGACATTGAGTTGTAATATGCAAAGGGCCGGTCTTACCGCCAGGTGCTCTTGGGGCTGTCTGCTATTGGCTTTAGGATTGTGACTAGGATTCTGTGACTTGGCTTTTTGGCGTCGTCTCTCAGAATTTAGTCTGCTGGTTGGATCATTAGCTTCCCCAGGCGGACCTGGGTACTGGCACAGGGGGAGGAGTGACCATGTCACAATCTGCTGTCAAGGGGCATATTTTCGCCTGTGCTTAAAGAGGAAGTCAAGTCAAAATCTTCTTCATAATAATATGGTCTATGTGTCCCCTGCTACTCGAAACACGGCATTTTAATTAATATTGCATTGTGGAATCTCAATTAAGCAGCAAAACCCATCTCTTAATTTGGCCATTTTGCCAAATCCTGTTGACTGAAAAATGATGTCACATTGCCGATGGGCTCAGGTCATGACCAGTCACGGCTCACCTGCTCTTTGGGTTTGGTCATGTGACATTCGTAAGCTGAGTCCTGAGGCACTCTGGTGGCACACCGGTCCCATTCACCCTCACTGACTGCCTTGTCATATTTGGTGAAAAAAACGCACCAGCACCAGCAGACTTTTTTGTTCACCTGTGAAGAGCATTTCCGCATGTTGATGGAATGTACAGTTGAAGCGCTGGTCACAAACAATACAGTCATGATAATAATCAACAGTACGAAGGACAGTCAATTTTTGGGACTATTTGTTGCGCCACATGCACAGCCCGTTGCTTGGCAACCTGGTTAACTCTCAATTTGTGCCGTCTCTGAAGTATTCCGTGATGAGCAAAGCATGCTGTTGAAATGTTCGGTAAAAGGATGAATGGAAGGATTTCTTGAAAAGTGAATGCAAAAGCACACGCTCCTTCAAAGTAGCCTGTCCATGAGCCCCACAAACATCTCTGGTGATGACTTCTGAAGCATGACATATTTCCAAAATTGATTTTTTTGACAAATAATAATGAAAAAAAAAACAAAAACAAAACGTTTTTCTTTTTTTTTGTCAATTTATCTAGGCCAGCCACATAAAATGCGGCAAAACAATAAATGCTCTTCAACTGATGAGACAGAGTACCGAATGAACCTGGACATCAACTTTGTATGTATCGTTTTGCTCAATGGTGTGCCGTGAGATTTTGTCTGATGTGAAATATGTGCCATGGCTCCATAAAGGCTGGGAAACCCTGCTGCCTCAGAAGGTTAGCACTGTGGCGGGATACTGACTGGAATGACTGAGTACATCCAGACATCATTCACAGTGCTTTATACTTTCTACCTCGCAGCATATTTATTGAATCAGTTCCACCCCCCCTCCACCCTCAAAATTCTAAACACAAATCCCATTATGACAGCATGAAAAAACGTTTCTGAATATTTTTGCATTCCAGTGCTAGCTTCTTTTTAATCATACGTTTGCCAAAATCTCAAAATTGCATGGTCGTTATGGGGTGTGGAGTGTCAAATTTTGAAGACAAAAACTAATTTTATACTTTTTCCTGAGGCTATAAGACAACCAAAATTGGAAAAAAGAAATAAATTATATTCTTTCCAGATGCCCTGGATTCTGTACAAGCTGAGAACTAAGTCACATTTTTACTATACATACTTTTGTTCTCAATGAAAATAGATGTCCGAGAGTCAAATCATGTCCTGAGATACTGACATCCAGTATATTGGGAGAAATACCGGCTGACCTATTTGCAATGATTTTCTTCTTCTTTTTTTCTTTTCTCAACAGCACAAGCCATCTAGAATGGCATCTAGTATCAATATCCGCCCTGGACCATCCCTGCTGCAAATGAACAACATTATGCACGATGATGAGGATGACTTTGCCTACGAGTGTTTGGATGGAAAAGACTGTACAAGCTTCTTCTGCTGCTTTGATGACTGTCGCTCAGGTGCCTGGCGAGAAAACAAGATGCATGTGCGAGTGAGTAAGATTGATTCTTACTCACGAATATTTTTCCCAACAGCTTTTGGCCTTTTTAATTTGGTTTATTGGATAGGCTATCTTTATCTATAAAACCAGTCCCCCCAAGGAAGGGTGCTTGGAGTTTTTTTATGGCCTCATATTTTCCAGGAAATGGGCTATTCTGACAGTAGTAATATTGTTCCCCTTGCAAACGCATACTGTAAAATAACAACTAAAAACTGCCTCATTTGTTGATTATAAAACGTACTCTTGTGCCGGGTTTTGTCTGCTTTGTTATGGTTATTTGTTGATGATGTCCTACATTATGGCGAATGAAATCAAAGACAGGTTCACACAAAATTTGTCTTTTCTCAAAGTTGGACATCAGAATGATTGACAGCTTATTTTGAATGGAAAGTCGCACACATGAAAGGACCTGTCATTGGAACTGAATTACCATATTACTTTGAATACATACTGTACAGTGGTAACCTCTACTTACGAACGTCTCTTCATACGAAATGTTCAAGTTACGAAATATCTCAACAGGAAAATATTGCCTCTTGTTCGAAAGACATTTCAAGATACGAAAGGTAAAAATACAGTATGGGCTGCTACTCACAGCTCCAAGTTTCCTGAACACAACATACTTATAGCTGCTCTGCCATTGGCTATTAACGAGCATCTTCCTTGGCATCCCATTGGCTGAGAGGGACCTCTATTGTATGTGTCTATGTGTAGATCAGTGGTTCTTAACCTGGGTTTGATCGAACTCCAGGGGTTCGGTGAATTGGTCTCAGGGGTTCGACGGAGCCTCTGCTATGGAGGGTAAGACACGCGTGACTCAACATGTCAGTTATAACACGCCCGCTTGGCCATCACTGGCTGCAGATGATCACATTACATTGCTTGTCCAATCAGTGCTGTGAAATTATTTTGCTAAGTAGTCAGCGTTTGACTGTCGTGATAGTACATCGTACAAAAAAAAAGGGTACTTATCTTTTGAAATATTAGTTAGGTTTTTCAGTTTTTAATAAATGTGTTTTTTTTATATATTGAAATTGTTAAAAAAATAATATATATGTTTATTTTTCACTCATGAAGGGTTCGGTGAATGTGCATATTAACTGGTTGTGTTCGGTCCTGTAAGAAGGTTAAGAACCGCTGGTGTAGATAGATAAAGATTTGTCTATGCAGCGTCCTCGTCATCCGCCCCTCGGGCCATGAGTCGTTCCCATAGTTTTACGTAAATGTGAACCACCCAGAAAAAGTGTTCACCAGTCCAGCGATTGCTCACTATGCTGATGTTTGCCTTGGACATTTTCGAAGGATTGGTAAAAACCGACAAAAGCAAACGTCGTTGGATCAGTTCTTTAGAAAACGCCACGCAAAAATCACTTATGAGAAAGAACATGGACTGAAGAGGGCAAAAAACAATGAGGATGCAGTTAAAAGTTAAAAGACCATTATTTTTATCCAGAACCAATTGATTTCTTAAGTAGCGGTACCACTGTATAGATAGATATCTTTAAAAAAAAAAAAAAAAAGATCCATTCTTCAGCGTTATCTTCAAGGGTATACAAAAGTCTAACAAAATTCTGAAACAAAGTTCAGCTCATGTTCACACAGTATAAAAATTCCGTGCGCACCAAAAAAAAATCAAAAAACAAAACAAAACAAAAAAAACCCCGCAAAGAGCCAAGTGAAATTGTGTCTCTTGTCTTATTGGTTAGACACATGGAAACAGGAAAAAAAGATGTGAAATGTAGATATGCGAGTGATGAACAAATAAAAGCAGAACAAACACAAAATTGACACATAAAATTGGGGTTTTTTGGACCTTAGTCAATGTGGAGAGGCTAACAAGCTACCAGCAAACAGTAAAACAATAAAAGGACAACTCAAGCTGATCCTCTTCCACATTGGTGTTTCCTTTTACTTACACTTCACTTCAATTCATCAGTAGGTATTATTTCTAAACTATACGTACATGTAACTATATGTCATGACGTCAAGTCATAACATCATTTCATACAGATTCAAATGATATATTATTGAAATTACATGTTTTATAACTCTTTTAAATCTTAAAGTAGCTAAATTGGTGAAAAACAAAGCCTGAGCTGTCCTTTATTTTTAAACAATTCTTTTATCAAAGTGTGTTAAAACCTACAGTAACATATGCAATGCTAACTTTGTTGCAGCTGTTCTCTAACACAGGGACTAGAGTCCATTAATTTTCAGTCATTTATTTGTTTTGAAAATATATGGACGTCGTTTAAGATACACTGAAACAAATTCACCAACAACAAAATGCCTCTTGGTAAACACAGCTAAAGGACTGTCCTTCCGGTTTCTGAAAGTTTTCCAATTTTAAGTCATGTATGTGTTGGATACATCAGCGGTCCCCAACCTTTTTCGCCCCACGGACCGGTTGAATGTCAGACAATATTTTCAGGGACCGGACTTGAAGGTGTGACTGATAAATACAACAACATATGATATGACATGCATGAAAACTGTGGTATTTTCAAAAAATAATAATAAACACAAATCATGACACGAGCAAAATCCTAATTGCCCGCAACACTCTCGGGTCACTATGGTAATCTTTAAATGTGCCTTCAAAATAAGATACAAAGAGCATGAAAAATATGACTCAGCATCGCCGCATATTATGCAGAGTTATGAGATAAATCCGTATTTTAAGAAGGACTCCTGATACTATCTCTTAAATGTAGCCTTTTTCTTAAAAGTCGAATAAATAAAACGGAAGTAATGTAGGTTATTTATTCTTTCTGTGTGGCCCGGTATCAAATGACCCACGGACCGGTACTGGTCCCCGGCCCGGGGGTTGGGGACCACTGAGATACATGATCGATTGATCATCTGACTAGCTAGCTAAACTAGCTAGCTAAACTAGCGGGTGAGCCAGCTACCTAGCTGTCTAGCTGTCAATATAAATATGAAATATCAACATATGTAAACACATTTTCCTGGAAGCCCCATGCTGTTGGAACAGCCTTTGCCCAAATGAGTAAGAAAGCATTTAATTTTTTTGAAAACATTTTCAGTTAAAGGATGCTTATGGTCGCGTCAGATTAAACAATTATATTTGAAGCCACCGAGGACCACATAAGCGACTCAGCCTGTTATAAAAATGTCTCACCAGTGAAGGGACATTGTGATTTCCTAGGAAGACTGTGAACATAATCCATTAAAAATGTAAACTTGCAGAGGTTTGTCGAAAAAGCGATCTGTTTCCGATCTTAAATCATTGATAATTATTGTGAGAAAACATGAACGTGAATCAATCTTCACATAAATCAATATCCATTCATTTTCTGTACCGCTTGTCCTCATTAGAGTTGCAGCATTAATCATCCATGATAACATAGCGTTAAAGTTAATTTGAGCTTATTTTGTATTGTGCATGAAACTAGTACCCCTTTACATTAATCGGTGCCCAACAAATAGTACTCTGTTTCCCTAATTGTGGACACCCTTGCTTTAGAGCAGGGGTAGGGAACTCCGGTTCCTCGAGAGCCATATCCTGCCTGTTTTAGATCCCTCCCTACTCCAACACACCTGATTAAATTTTTCATGATGCTTTTAAGCCTACAGAGGGCTTGCTGGTGAGCTGATCATTTGAATCAGGTGTGTTACAAGTACAGAGAGAGATACAACATAGTATTAGTGCAAATGTTTTGTCCTGCAGAGTCATGGAAACATAATGACAGCAGATATGCAGTGTATATATTATGGACATATGTCTTCTATAAAAACAATGGGTGGATGATTGATCTTATATATTTATATAGGGAGATATATACAAATTTTCAATGACACATAGTCCTCAAATTTAGCTTTTTTTTATTGAGCTGAACAGTTGCTAGAGGGTTTTTATGTGTTGACTGAAACCTCTTCAGAATTGTACTTTAAAATGTCAAATGACTGAGAACCAGAGGTGCACCAACTAGTGACACTGACTGAGCACTGCAAAACACAGCAAACGAAAAACTGCGACCATGTTTGGGGTTTTAAAGCTCCGCACACAATGTATTAAACTGTATCTTTTTTTTTTAAACAATAAAATGATGGCGTAATAATGCAGGAAGAAGTGGTTAGCGAGTCAGCAAGGAAACAGTTGAGAATAAAGCAGCGAGTGTCAATAGGGAAGGTTGTTCCAGTGATCGATGGCCCCATTCACTTCCTCTTGCATTTTTGGCGACACAGGCTCTCCCAGCCAAAGGTACATATGAAGTGAATTTATCACAATCTTTCCGTGGTGTTTCAACGAAAGAAAGACCATCTCTGAACTGAGGAGCAGGTGGAGGCCTATGACACCACCTGCAATATATCCCACATTCAACATCATCCCTTCACAATAATTAAGCTTCGAACAAATAACAGTGCGGTCTCATTTGGCCCGAAAGTGGCTGCACAACCTTTTTTTGCAACTGCATGGAATTTTAATGGGGGACATTCTAACAGACATCTACAATGTCTATGTGTCTTTAACTCAAAGGTGAAATACTGTACTTGGTTTTCAGACCAACACCCCGGCTTGTACTCTCCTACTTGACCTTATGCATGAATTGTTGAAACCTCCTTTGGAGGAGAAGCGCAGCAACTTTTAAGATCAGCATAACAGTTCTGTTGCAATTGATTCAATGAAATAAAATGACAAGGATGATTGAGAATATTCAAAAGCATCTTTGGAAAAAAAATGTTCACGAGAATAACTAGTGAATGGGGGTATATTGTTTTTATTGTTAGTTTCAAATGTGTGTCAATCAAGTTTTTTCTTCCATCTTTGCTAAATATTCACGTTGTTAGCTTGTGTGTCACCAGTACGTCCCAAATCCTGTTCTATCCTATCACTTGTACGTAGCTAAAGCCTATTTATTTCAAATCAAGAAATTTTTTTACATTTAATGGAAACCATAATAACACGTCACCCCTGTGCAACGCCCTCCTTTGTAAATCAGAGATGAAAGTGGACTTTCCTATATACTGAAAATGTCAATCATTGCTTCGGGTTCCGGTCGGGCTTCTCTCTCGCTTACTTTTTTTTTTTTTTTTCGAGGCCGCGAATAGTTTTGGCCACGAGAGACCGTGGTTCGCAAAAAACAGAAGCGGCGTCATCACAACACGTACTGTACTATACTCTCGCAATGACAAATCAAAAAACTCCTTCATAACTTTATGATCCAGCCGTCATTGTTCTTTTTGGTCTCGCTGCTTCTCTCTTGGTGTGCCGCACTCGATTCTTAAGGACATACTGCTGCTGTGGTGAATGGCTTAATTTTCAACCCGTCAAAATGACGGACGGCCTTAAATTTTCCCCGTCCACTCTTAAAAAAAATCCGTCAATGATGGAAAATTGTCCGCTAATGTAACCTCTTCAGGAACAAAAATATAAAAGATGTTTATCCAGTCTTGTTTAACTTAGATTTCGTTCCAAAAGACAGGCTTTGTTAACAGAAATCACCCCTCCTCCTCACAAATAAAATATGAAACCTCGGGTTTGGTTCGGGCTCGG